CTTGCAGTTGTTGAAGAAGCGTGACCTTCGAAGGAACAACAAAGCCAGCACGAGTGCAGTAGCAACATTGGTCTTGCGAAGATATACCGTGCAGAAATTCACACAAGTGTAATTGTTGGTTCATTATTCAACAACCAACTACATAGTGGATTTTGAGGACGTAGAAGGATTACCCCACCTTCGAACCTCGTTAAAGTTTGCGTGTCTCTCTCTTTTATCTTTACTCTTACTTGCAATTACATTAATTGTGAAAACTAACCCATCCATATTGATTACTGCTCACTCTACCCACCAAATTCCGCACACAATCTAAAGTTCTCAAGAACTCTAGATTAACACTTATTTTCACGTTTTCAAAAGAAACGAAAAAGATTTTAAATTTGTAACAAAGTCTATTCACCCCCCCTCTAGACTTTGTATCTCACCACTTTGGGACCACCAGCTCATTTGCTAAATCTGTGTTTGGAGAGCTCTCAAAGTTGATACATTATGACATTACTGCAGAGTCTGCGCAGCCTACTCTATTACTGACTTGGGAGGAAAAATTAGTTTGGGCAAGAGTAGGAAAGATCATTGGCTTATAGCAACCTGTATCACAGCAAGCTGTTACTTTGTGTGGAAGACCAGGAATATGCAACTTCACACCGGCAGGAAGACTTTGAAGGAACACCAGATTCACAATTTGAAAACCATTATAAAGATGAGAATTGGAGATAAATTTGCCCTCTAGCTGTTTGGCTTTCTATGTTTTAAGCTGGCATTGTTGTCCCTTTTGTTAGTGTGTAATAGAGGCCATCCCTCTGTAAGACTTCTTGATTGTGTGATCAATGTATTGTGCTTGGTTAAAAAAAAAGAAATAGAAACATTCGTGGAAGGATACTCATAAAGAACAAACCGTAAACTATTATCATGTAATATACAGTAGTATTATATATAGAAAATCCTCAAATTTAAATACTTGTTACTATCTATAGAATTAATTCATTCTTTTAATGCAAGTATTGCTAGCAACCATAAAAGTTATAGTATTAATTCTTTTCCTTTTTAGCCTTTTTTATTATGCTAAAAAATGAAAAATTCAATTCCTAGAAACTTTCAAAGATCATGTCGAAAACTTATATGAAGCATAAATACTTGTGGAATTGATGGATACTCATAAAGAACAAATCGTAAACTATTAGCCTGTAAGTTATAGTATTAATTCTTTTCCTTTTTCTCCTCTTTATTAATCTAAAATATAAAAATTCAATTCCTAAAATTTTTGAAAGATCGTGTCAAAAATTTATCTACAATAGAAATATTTGTGGAAGGATACCCGTAAAGAACATACCACAAACTATTGGCGTGTAATAGTACTATATATTGAAAATCCTCAAATTTAAATACTCGTTACTATTTATAGAACTAATTCATTAATGAAATGCAAGTAATGCTAGCAACCAAAAAAGTTATAATACTAATTCTTTTCCTTTTTCACTTTTTATTATTCTAAAAAAAGAAAAACACAATTCCTAGAATTTTTCGAAGATCGTGTGTCGAATACTTATCTAAAGTAGAAATATTCGTGGAAGAATACCCATAAAGATCACACCACAAACTATTAGACTGTAATAGTACTATATATGGAAAATCCTCAATTTTAAATACTCGTTACTATATAAAGAATGTATCCTTTATTTTAATGCAAGTATTTCTAGAAACCAAAAAAATTATAATACTAATCCTTTTCCTTTTTCACTTTTTATTATTCTAAAA